ATTAAAACCGGACGATATGTATGAGAAGAAGCCGTCAGCAGACAGTTTGAGGACCATTTCAAAGCCAAATATAGCTTAACATAACGTTTTGGACACAATTAGATAAGGGACTGGTAGGACACCCACTGAAACTTAACGCACACTTACCTGTAAAAATGACATTGCTAATCTCAACTGTCTGGGTGAGACTGGGCGGTTGGTTGTGGTATTCAATGCCCATACATAGAGTATTGAAGAGAATGGCTAAAAATATGGCTCTTTTGAAGTAATTGTGATTGACTATAATTTTGAGTCCACGTTGAATGGCTGTCCAGCACCGGGAGCAGTGATTGTTACTCTTGCTATTATTGCGGTCAACACTATTGCGACCGTTATCTGTCTCCTCATCCCACGAGCACTCGGTGTTACTCCAGCCCCCGGTCTCGCTCTGGGAGCCCACGGTTTCAGTGATACTTTGCAACTCATTGGCGCCGCCCTTCAGCGTAACAAATGTGGGGCTGGGAGTGGGCCGTAGGAACAGTAGGGTCGGCGCCGAACAGTGTCGGCCCGATTTGCTTGCGGCCGACAAGTGGAACGACTTGAACGCCTGGTTATCGCCGATGGCCTCCGCCGGGCGCCTCCTAACGCAGTCAACCGCTTGAATGGAGTTGTGGTGAGGGACCGGGTGGTGCGGGTTGTCCCTACTGTCACCCCTATTCGCACAGTACTTATTGTTATTATGACTATTATTGGAAGACTTATTGACAGACNCGAACCCTTGGTTGGCAGCAGAGTTGGCTAAGAGTTGCATTTCTATCACACAATTAAGTGCCAAATATTAGTCAATTAATAGTTATTATATTATAAATAATAATAATAATAAAAATAAATTAATATTTATAAAAGAATTTGTGTTTTCATAATAAATGTAATGTTTATTTAAAACTATTAATAGCTAAGGGTTTTGTTGAAATATTTGTCTCACGAGTTGTTTATTATAAGGAATACCTGTTTTCCATCACTCGATGGTATATAAGTTATTTTAACACTTGAAGACCCGACACATACCTCTCTCCAGATTATCTTCCGGTCCATAAAAATAGATGAGTTTCTCTCTCTTCACCTCCGGATCGTCGGACATGTCGTCAGAGATGGACCCTTTCTTCTCATCCTAACGTATCAACAAACAGACGATTCAAATATATTAATATTTCATTCATGAATGAATTGTTAGTCTTATAAATGAATTTTGTTTATAAAACAAAATATGAGTTTTAAAAACAAATTAATAGCATTTAAATGTTTTAAGAAGTTTATTTGTATTTATTGACATAAAATTTTATGGAAACTACTCTTATAAGTAATTATCGGTATTACTAAAAATAAATAAAAGCTAAAAATGGGATTCGGTTTAATGGGTACAGATGTGCGGAATATAGGGCATACCTCCTGCGAGAAACCCTCGACCAGAATAGCGACCAACAGATTGAAGAGCACATAATTGCCGAAAGTCATGAGCGCCACGAAGTAGAGGGCAGCGTATGGAGACGTCCTCTCCATACCATTGAACAGAACCACATTCCAGTCCTCTTGGGTTAGGATCTGATTGCCATTTGATTGTTGTTTTTGTTTTACAAAAAACATCAAAAGTTACGAACATTTCGCTCTCATTATATAAAAAACCGATTAATTCTCTATTGTATTGAATGCAGAACTTATTGAGACAGGCATTCGCTAGTAGACTAATTGCTTGATAAATAAAATTAGTACAATATCTATTGAAATAGACTGTTTTCTGTATGAACTAAAAATAAGCTAAAATTCTTAACTTAAGAATAAGTATGATACAGTATATGGATAATGAAAAAAGTTTAACACAAAATAATCTTTATTTAATAGATGACTAATTTAAATGCCTGTTTAGTCAAGATGTATATAAATTATAGATCAAGTTAATTTAATAACATACTTATTATGATAAAATTACGGTATGCATAGACAGACCTGAAACACCGTAATTGTGGCCCAAAGTATATTATCGAAATGTTTTCGATTAGGTCTACAGTTTAGATTAGGATTCACTATATCATCGCAAGTGCAGTATCTCTTTGTGCCATTGGGTTGGATAACAGTGCAAAATAGTCCGCCAAATAAATGCATGCCAAGGCAACTGAGTGGACACAATACAGGTGTGATTTGAATAGCATTACACATTTTATGCAATTTTACTAAGTTTTCAATTTTGTTTCCACTAAAATTTTATTTAATTTTTGTTTAGACATTTTGGTTACTAAAAATGTATAAAAAACAAAATTCAATACAAAGTGATGAAGAAAGTGTAGGATAGTATATTAGTTGACATAATAGACTAGAAAGACTATAATAGAGTGAGAATGAGTTATTGGCGTAGAGAGAGAGAGAGAGAGAGAGAGAGAGAAAGAAAAAAGTATAGAAATCGATAGACAAGTCATAAATAATTCATTTGAAAGTGATTTTCAGAGCGACTTTCAATCGCATTAATACCTGAACTCTACTATAATAGAGTGAGAATGAGTTATTGGCGTAGAGAGAGAGAGAGAGAGAGAGAGAGAGAGCGAGAGCTTATTTAGGGGACAGAAAATGCCTAGCCTATTAAGTAATATTGATTTGAAAAGTTTTTCGATAGACACACAAAATATAAGTGATTGCAAACAACATTCACATAAATCACTGGAAACTACAGGCTTGAGAGGTACGGCTCACAGACGGCAACACAAACCGCGGACACAGGAATATATGCGTGCAATTGGACTCCAAAAAATCTACAGAATATTCTGTTTCAGTAAAAAACTCTTTTTATAACAACTATTTTTAATGGCTTTCTATAACTACAGTTGTATTCTATGTTTTAATAATAAAATCGATTATTCATAAAAATAACGTATAAAAGGTATATAAAAATTCTATGATAGCATTATGTGAAAAATAGTAACAAAAAATATATATTATACGTTAAGCGCTATTTTATGCTCTAAATAAATTGCAAATATTCGCCACTAATACTAATGCCAAAAATTAATATTATCAATGGCACCGCTAATCATAATATCATAATAAGTAATAATAGCCTCAACTAAACAACCAAAAACCACTTGAAAACACTTGAATATACTGTATTGTTGTACTGTATGCCTACTATAAACATTGAATGATAATTTCTCCTAAATTCTAGTAAATATGCTATTATATGGCATAGTATTCTAGATATATATTGATATGTTCTGCTTATTTTGATCTGGATACAAATACAAATATGATAACCCAATGGTGTGTATGTTAATATACCTGAAACACAGTGACGAGAGCCCATAATAATGAATCAAAATTCTTGCGATCGCATTGTCGTATTGAACTGTTTTCAGGCGATTGCCGACAGAATTTACAGCCAAACAAATTCATACCGAGTATACTGTAAATCAAATGTCGAGATAAAAAAGAAAAACACTTTTCACGTATGAAAAACAACTGAAAAAATAACTTTTTAAACGCAACGCTACAAACAATTAGACAAAACGAGGACTTTAAGCACATATAAGGCTTGGGTTTGGATCTACTAACTTTTATAAGACGTTTTATGGACATTATAGACAAAACGGCTTGTTTATTATATTGGTTAATCAGTTAATCAGACTGAGGGAAATAGGATTTACACTGAAAAAGTGGTATACAATATATGGGAAATATATAGTCGAAGTGTTTGAAAGTCTGTTAACAATAACCAAAAAGTTGAACCAAAATGTTGAGACAATGGTCTCAATACTTACCTAAAAATGAATATAAAAAGCAAAAGGAGTGCAAAAAATACGGCGACGTTGTCTATAGTCCTCAACATAATGACCAGTTGTCGTCGGAGGGCTGGCATAAATCGGACCAACTTTAAGATCCGTAATAAACGAAAACTTCGGAGCACTGATAGACCGCTTCCGTGCTCTTCGAGCAGTTCCAGAAGACTTTGGTGTGAATGAGAGGGCAATGGAGTGAAAGATGAGGGAATGGCGTTAATATGAAACACATGATTTACAGATACTGTCTCTAATACCTCAAGAGTACAATACTTCCGTCGAAGACATTAAAACCGGACGATATGTATGAGAAGAAGCCGTCAGCAGACAGTTTGAGGACCATTTCAAAGCCAAATATAGCTTAACATAACGTTTTGGACACAATTAGATAAGGGACTGGTAGGACACCCACTCAAACTTAACGCACACTTACCTGTAAAAATGACATTGCTAATCTCAACTGTCTGGGTGAGACTGGGCGGTTGGTTGTGGTATTCAATGCCCATACATAGAGTATTGCCGAGAATGGCTAAAAATATGGCTCTTTTGAAGTAATTGTGATTCACTATAATTTTGAGTCCACGTTGAATGGCTGTCCAGCACCGGGAGCAGTGATTGTTACTCTTGCTATGATTGTGGTCAACACTATTGCGACCGTTATCTGTCTCCTCATCCCACGAGCACTCGGTGTTACTCCAGCCCCCGGTCTCGCTCTGGGAGCCCACGGTTTCAGTGATACTTTGCAACTCGTTGGCGCCGCCCTTCAGCGTAACAAATGTGGGGCTGGGAGTGGGCCGTAGGAACAGTAGGGTCGGCGCCGAACAGTGTCGGCCCGATTTGCTTGCGGCCGACAAGTGGAACGACTTGAACGCCTGGT